TTAAAGATTTCGTAATGTTAAATTCATTAGTGTATCTTATTGATAAGACTATTATTTCTGCTCTAATGTTATCTATTCTAATCTAATATTTGTTTACGTTCTGTCTATTACAAATTTATTCTGTTTTCGTAATCAAAGCAAAAAGGAATATTCCGTATCTGTATTATTAGTATTTACTAAAAATATTTAATATCTAATCACGATACATTCTTATTTAATTAAAGAGAAAAAAATAATATGTATAGTACATCTTATCAAAAACTTTGAACGACATAATGTCTTTTATGAAATTATATGGACAAGAAGATATCTCATTAAATGTCGTTCACGAGATGCTGTTTGTTTTTGATGGTTTAGAAAAAGTATCATTCTAAACTACAACTTTTCCCTATACATGTTACTGTCACTCACTTTAGTTTCACTCAATTTTAGTTTCCGAGATATTCGCAGAATTATTCTTATTATCCAACGTCGTTTGAGATTTGTTATAAGTTACTATTTATAAACAGTTGTAATAAAATATTTCACGAGTCTGTCTTATTTAGAGTTATATTTTGGTTTTTGATCTTAGTTATCTAATCAATCTATTAATATTCATTGAAATAAAATATCTCGTAAAATGGTTTCATACTATAAAATAAAATAAAATTATATGGAATTTTGGACATATATGACAACTACAATAAACTAATTGAGAATAATGTTCGATATAAAATGCAATTTTGTTTTTTTGGACTAAATCTAACTCAAAGTAAAATAAAATTATATGAATTTTCGGACGTACGTGACAATTACGATAAATTAGTTGATATAATAATGGATAACGTTCAATATAAAACACAGTTGTGCTTTTTTAGACTAAATCATTAAGACGAGATATATGATGTATATATACACCTCATCTGTGACTAAATCCAACCAAACTTCACTCAAACATAAAATCGGAACACATCCCGTAACTCTGAGAAGTTCTAGGATCATTGGAAGCCGTATTAGTGCTCCCCGCGCCTATGCCTCTCGCAATCAATTCGTAGCATATCCTCTGGGGGGTAGATATCGAACCTTCTTCCGTAGATATCGTAACTTTCTCCTCTGGTGACATCAAAGGCCATATCCGAAAGGCCTTACAACAGCGGTTACATAGTCCAACCCAAACACAATCTGAAAATAGAATGTAAAAATTAGAAATATTTTTGCATATTCTATATCCGACTAGTAGACGTTACCGACCGCCTTGAAAAAAGATAGGCTATTTAAAAAACTATCTTGAACACTGTTAACGCTAGCAACAACTGTCATATATATGGCACGGACGGGATTTAAGCCGTTTTTAGAAATTTTACACATTGGGTGGGACCAGGCACTAGGTCTACATCCCAACTATTAACAAT